CCAATCACTGTATTCTAATGAATAAAGTTTGTTCCCTTTTGAAAATGAGCCAAAAATTGTAATGTCATTGCATACACACAAACACACACACACATACCATGTAGATACATATGCATCAATAATTAACTAAAGGGATGGAGGGCAAAGGGAATTGGGTTTATTATTTTTGGGGTACAGAGCTAAGATAAGCAGGTGGGGTGATCAAGAACGATGCACTTGATAATGAATCAGTGATGTTAGAGGCATCAGAATGCATGCATGCCCAGGCTGATTCAGGAACAGGTGGCTACATATTAGATATGTGTAGATATTTGCATACGTCTATGCCCGCACACATGGAAATGTCCTTTTTATATCATCTGAGTGATATGAAAAGTAACCACAGCTCCCGTACATACAAATTTTGGTGTTTAATATTTTTCTCCAATAAAATGAACCAGGTCCTAGAAGAAAAAGATGATCCTTGGGCCTACAACAAAAGTTAACAGAGGCTGGGGAGAGTCTTGGTCAATGAAGTGTTTGCCATGCAAGCACAAGAGCCACAGTCTGATCCCTGAGTCAGTAAGTAGAAAAAAGATGGACTGGGCAGCCCAGAGCCTACAGTCCCAGAACAGGAGGGGAGCTGGAGATGAGAGAATTCCTGGCCAACCAGTCTAGCCAAACCAATGAGCAGCAGGCTCAGTGAGATACCTTGCCTCAACAAACACAGTAAAGAGTAGTGGAGGAAGACACATGACACTGACCTCTGACCCCTGCCATCAGACCTACATAGGTATCAACATGAGCATGCACACATGCACACAGCCCTCTCTGTCAGGTCAGGGCTGGTGGAATAGTAGTAAAGGAGACAGCATTTGGGAAGGTGGTCCCTGAGTACCGTCAAAGCAGCACTCTTGCAGCCTCTAGTGTTTTTCTATGTTGTCTCCCTCAGGAAATATTTTGGGGCTCATGTGTAGCCTTTTCTTCCAAATGAGCCAACCATCATTTGTCTTTTTTATTTTTTTCACTGAAACCCAGAGCACCCTCTCTGTTTTTAACTGAACATTTTTTAAAACCCTAATTGACATGATCTGAATTGTATCCACTTTATTTCTATCTAGTGACTAAGATGCCACATAATAATGGTACTTCTAAGGTGGTTACCTTGGAGTAAAAATCCTAGATGCCTCCAATTAGGTTAATTATGCCTAGATTTTCTTTGAAAATGATTGTCAGATACATGAGGCCCTTCTCTATCTTAAAAGAAAAGTGCAGGATGTCAGTGGCTTCTTGCATGCTAATGTAGGTTGTAGATGGAACCTGGCTAGTGTCAGAACAGCAGAGGCTTTGGAGTCTTTCTAAGCACTGGAATGTGCTGTAGAATTGTAAGGACGTGAGCTGTTGTGTGTGTGTGTGTGTGTGTGTGTGTGTGTGTGTGTTGGATGGAGAGTCTGTTTCTTTGTACATGCCTGAGATCTCTCTAGAACTGAAGTGTGCCTAGCAGAGAAATTACTCTTCCAAGAGAAAGGCATGACTAGTACTACTGGATTCCTCTATGGCCATAGCTGCACAAAAAATTATGCGTGCATATAGTGTAGATAGACGGATATACACGTACTTGTGTGCATATAGTGTAGATAGACGGATATACACGTACTTGTAGACACAGCTGCAGACACACACGTGCATGTGCACTTATATTTTCTCATCTTGGCTGTGGCGTTGGCAAAGTGTAACCTAGATTTCACCTGCTTTGCATTTGTCATTCACACTGATGTTCTGGTTTCCTTACATTTCAACCTGGACTTTCCTCCCATCCTCCTGTTTGTGTCTCCTTTGCTGGATACATTTTGGGGAGGACTTAACTGAGCAGCAGGCTACGAGGTCTGACCTACCTTTTAGTCCAGGAAAACAAAAATAATGTTTCAAAACCACAAAATCTGTTTAACAGTTTTTGATGGCTTCCCTGAGGGTGGGAATTTTTAATATTTCTGAATATCCAGTGCCTGAAAGCTGGCACAAAACGGCTATCTCAGTCTGCCAGGATGGCACTTCATGTGGTTCTGAATGTGAAGCAGGAGCATGACTTGGGGCAGCCTCGTTTCTTCTTTTGAGAGGGTTCATTTTGGTGAGCCCTCTCTGTCATACCTACTTATGTTCAATAACCACTCAGTGCCCTTGAGGTAGCACAAAACTTAGCAGAAATAATCTAAAAGCAACTACTCTGTAATGGAATATTAAGTATTCTGTTTAATAATATAAAAGCTGCCCCGAGATGTCATGTGAGGAATGTCTGTACAGGGCTTTTCCCCTTTTAATGAAGTGGTTAGCATTTCCTTGGTGAGCTTAGAAATAGGATTTGAGTATAGAGGGTCCAGGGTGCAGGGACAGAGAGAATGAAGGGCTAGATGGATTCACCCTGGAGGGCTGGCTTCGGGAATATCAGTTCTAACTGGATAATCCAGTGTTTGAGATCTCTTCCTGGAGGTTCAAAAAGACCTGGAATTGAGGCATTAGTAAATTGGTTTACTAATGTCCATGGGCTTTACGCACCACTCTGTCAATCTATCTTTCTTTTACTTGACACATAATGTATGTACATATCTAGGGGCAAAGTGTTGTGTCCTCATACATGGATTACACCATGTAATGACTAAATATCAACATATTTGCAATCTCAAACTATTTATCATATCTTTGTGGTGAGAACATGAAAAATTGTTGTTTCAGCTTTTGTAGCTAGAAAATATGTTATTGTTTATAGCCACCCTACTGTGAGATGAAATACCAGAACATAGTCCTTTTGTCTCACTATAAAACTTGATCTTTGTACCTGTTAACCAACCTTTCCCATGCCTACATGCTGTCCATGCAGAAGTTTCTGCCACAGCCTGGTATCAAGCCAAGGAGCAAGAGAATTGCCATGTTCACACACACACACACACACACACACACACACACACACACACACACACGGAAACACAAAGGTAAGGTGAAGTGGTTGTACACAGATGAAGGTGTTAGATGAAGTGTAGACAAGGGTGATCAAACAACAGCCCTTGAGCCAAACCTGGTATCACCTGGTTTTGAAAATAAAATTTTACAGAAATAGACATGGATGTTTCTTTGTATAATATCCAGGCTAGTTTTACCCTACAGTGGCAGATGCCTGCAAAGCCTAAACTGACCATTTATAAACAACCCTAGACCCTGAATGGGAAAACCTGCCCCAGTCCACGGAGAGCTCTGGAACACCCACTAATCTCTCTGTAGTCACCCCCATCTTGAAGCAAATGGCTGCACTTTGCACCTAATGTCAGTGAGGCATTGGTTGCTGACTGCCCAGGTGTTGAAGGTAGGTGTGTGAGATGCATCAAGCCCAGCATGCTGGCTCATCATCTGGGAACGAGTCTGCATAAGAGCAGCTGTGTGAGCTGTCAGCAGCCAAGAGCTGGAGTAGAAGCTGGAAAATGAGTGAGAATGCCAGCTAATGGGATCTCACAAGGTAGCCCCAGCATCTAACCGTGTGCATCTTGGTGAACAGAGATGCTTCCTGAAGTCAGAGAGATCCAGATTTTCTGGCTGAGACTGGGTCAGGGCCTCTTGTCCCTCTAACTCCATTTCTTTGCTCTCAAGGTGAAGGTGGGGTCTCTCAGTGAGCTGGCTGGGCTCTGTCAGCCTCTGCTGCCTCATCTTAGTCTACTTTCTTTATGCTGTGCTCTCCCGCCAGAGAGCACTCTCAAGGTGCTGAGCCTGAACCAGAGCCTGTCATTTCCCTCCAGTGGCAGACCACCAGCTGTTTCCTCTGCCTGCAGCACTCCCTGGTGCCTTTCTTCATCTGCCACATCTGACTGATATCCTATTTTTTTTCCTTCAGATCTCATCTCAGAATGCATTAATAAGATGAACCTTCCGAAAATTCCCTTTCCTTGGTTTTCAGTCCCACCAAGTAGCCAATATTCAGTATGCGTGCTTTTAATCCTTTGTTTAGCTTATGCAAACCCTGGTGTTCACAAATAGGCACATTTTCTTCTGTAAGTTAAACACTAAAATCTTTGTACTGCCTCTCACGCTTCCTATCCAGCCTCTGGAAACTCCCTAGACACATAGTGTGGATTTACTTTAAATTTTTTTTTCTAACACGATTTTCTACCATTTGCATGCATAACCCATGCACATAATGCATATGCAAAATGTTTTTTAAAGATTCCCGTAATAGTAGCTCAGTTTTTCCCAGTTTACATTGAAAAATAAAACACACAAATTTTGTTTGTTCTAAATTTGTGTGTGTGTGTGTGTGTGTGTGTGTGTGTGTGTGTGTTGGGGTGTCTACATCAGTGTGCACACATGTAGAAGCCAGATGTTGAGTGTCACCTCTGTGCTCTCCACCTATTCCTTTGAGATGAGGTCTCTCATTGAATGAGAAGTTTGGTGTTGTTGCCAGGCTGGCTGGCAAGCTACCAGGGTATCTAGAGCTAGAAGTGCAGGTACACATGGACATGCCTGCCTTCTTGACAAGGGTGCTAGGATTTGAACTCATCCCACTTACCTATTTTGTTATTTTAAAATATTTCTTTTAGTTTTAATTTCCCCTTCTCTCTCTCTCCCTTTCTTTATCTATCTATCTATCTATCTATCTATCTATCTATCTATCTATCTATCTATCTATATCTGTGTCTGTGTGTGTATGGATTAGTACAAGTTCCCAGAGATGTTGGATGCCCCTGGAGCTGGAGTTGCAGGTTTGTGAGTTACTAAGTATGGGTGCTGAGAATCAAACTTGAGTTCTCTACAAAAGCATAATGGACTCTTAACCACTGGACCATTTCTCTAGCACTCCCACATGCTGCTTTGATAACACAAGAACCTGTACAATGACAGAAACTTGGCATGCTATCATTCTGTCTGATTCTCTGCCACTCATGGCCACAGCGTGGGGGGAGTTTTAGGCTGCAGGTATGTGATGACGTGGGGGTGAAGGTCTTGCTCTGTTATGACCATCACTGTCTCTTCATTTTCAGATACCACCCAGATGAACAACGCAGTGCCCACTTCTCCTCTTCTCCAGCAGATGGGGCACCCACATTCATACCCCAACCTGGGCCAGATTTCTAATCCGTATGAACAGCAGCCTCCGGGCAAAGAGCTCAACAAGTATGCCTCCTTAAAGGCAGTAGGTAAGGGATTCTGCATGTGTTGGTTTCCTTTCTCCTCCCTCTCCTCTATTCAGCTTCTTCATATGAATTTTTTAACTTTTTACTTTTATTTCTTTATTATACTTATTTTCCCCGCTTATCTATCATCTATCTGTCTGCCATCTAGTTATCTAGCTATCATCTATCAATTTATCTATTATCTATCATATATGTATATATATGAACATATTTATGTATGTTTCTATGCTTATGCCTATGTATGTATAAATTTATATATGCCTGTATATATGTATCTATTTATCTGCCTACCTCTCTACCTATCTGTATTTATGTATATGTGTCTATTTATGAATATATCATGTATCTGACTATCTATCATCATCTATCTACATCTATGTGCATATTTGTATTTGTGAATCTATTATCTATCTATCTATCTATCTATCTATCTATCTATCTATCTATCTAT